CTTTTTGATCTTAAAGAGATACTAAGTAAAGGGAAGTTGTGAGATCTTACAGTGCATTCATCCTTTATTTAGAAATGTACTTAAATTAAGCACTTTTGATCATTTCTAGGTAAATACTTATTCAAGAACAGGATTCATTCCAGAAGTAATGGGATTTATATCAGAGAAAAATCTGATAAAAGGAATAGCCAGTAGTTAATTTTTATGTTGTAGAATGTCAGGGAACCTTCATGGCTAAATTAGCTTTCACTTTGAGGTGGTTGCCTTTCCAGGGTCCATAGCAGTGGCCACTGTCCTCCCACCGCACCCCATCTGCCCTCCCCTGCTGGGAAAGAGAGAAATCCAGGTCCGGTGGAAGCACGTGGGCTCCAAAGCAGATGGGTGACCGGGTGTGTGCCCATCAGTCCAGCCGGTTCATGACTCAAGCTGGATCCCACAGCCTTCATGAGCTGCCCTTGGTTGGCCCTTGCCCCTTGGGGGAGGTTCTGCAGGGATCAGGCACCCACACAGTTCTAGGTCAGCCTCCTCCAGCGCAGAGGCTCTTGAGTAGCTTAAATCTAATGTTTGCCCTCAGCAGCTCGGCTATTTCTGGATGTGGATCCTTCTGAAAGGTGCCATTATGAAAGGCTCATTTGTCTGGATCTGTGTGACTCTGAATGGAGGGGTGGGTGACAGTACTTGAGGGTATCACCATACCTTACTTAGATTGGCTTCGTGACTTACAATCTGCCACTGGCTTTTTCCATTTCTTTCCTGGTCAGACTCAAGAGTTTGGAAGGTGGCAGTGCTTCTGGTACTCAGCGGTACCCTTCTGGGTTGGGTGCATGTATGTAATAGTTGATGCCACAGCGGTGTGCTTTAGTGTCAGGGACTGGAGGTCATCTGTGGGTGTCTTCCCCAGCCAGTGACTTAGGCAGGAGGCCTTGGAGTTGCAGTGTTGCTCGTAAGTGATCAGGCCATTCAGCAGGTCTGTGCAGCTTGGCCTCACGGGCGCATGCGTGTGAGGATCCTCCGGGCATTCTGGCGGTAGCCTGCCCAGCGCTGTGTGGCTTGGGCTCTGTGACCTCTGAGAGGGAAGCGCATCTTCTCAGAGGCTTGTGGAACTTGTCCTAAACTGATGTGCCAGCCTCCTGCTGTTTTATCTCGCTGACTTCCATTTAACTCTTTTTTTTAATGGACTTAAAATTTAAACTGTTTGTGGCCTGGCTCTCTGGGGCTCCAGGCCAAATTATTCTGACTTTGTATGTGTGTCACCCGATTCCATAAGTGCTATTTTGAAATCATACCGTACAGATGTGTCAGTCTTCTTTCTTGGCGCTCAGCGATACCTCGAAACTGGGCATTCGCTCACAGGCTGCTGAATGGAGTGTTCAGCTCCCAGCGTTGAGTTTCCAAGTTTCTGCCCAAGGGGTGTCCCGAGTATAAGGACCCAGTGCTGCTGCCACCTAAATAAAGTTTCCACACGAGGCTGCGTGACAGAGAAAGTTTCCACGCGGGGCAGGGAGAGGAATCTTGCAGTCACCAGGCACAACAGTTGTCACGTTACAGGATCTGAAGGAGGGAGCTCTGTGTGACGCAGAGGCTGGCAGTGGCGGCCTTACCTGGGAAGCTGTTACAAACGTAGAATCTCAGGCCCCACTCCGACCTACTGAATCCAGATGGGCACTTGAACTAGAGTGCCAGTGATTTTGTATGCACGTTTGTGTGTGTGAGAGGCGCTTTTCTCAGGGAGACCTCTGCGGGAGCTACGGGATGCTGCCGTTCGGCCAGTAGAACGGATCTGTGTATGCACTTGGAGGCAGCCCAGCTCAGTGGTAAGAGTGTGTCCTAGCTGTGTGATCTGGGGTGAGTCACTTAACTTCTCTGTGGCTCACTTTTATTATTTCTAAACTTAGGCCACCTCATAAGATTGTTGTGAGGATAAAAAGAGTTAATATAGGGGCGCCTGGGTGGCTCAGTCGGCTAAGCGTCCGACTTCAGCTCAGGTCATGATCTCGCAGTTCGTGGGTTTGAGCCCCGCATCGGGCTCTGTGCTGACAGCTCGGAGCCTGGAGCCTGTTTCAGATTCTGTGTCTCCCTCTCTCTCTGACCCACCCCGTTCATGCTTTATCTCTCTCTGTCTCAAAAATAAATGAAGGTTAAAAAAAAAATTAAAAAAAAAAGAGTTAATATAAACACACTTAGAACAGTGCTTGGCACGTAAGCGCTATTATAATTAGGAGTTTTATGATCACCCTCCATAGCTGCCGGGGCACTGGTTAGAGAGATTTATAAATGCAGGTTTTACTTAGAAGACGATGGAATCTAAAAGCAGGAAGGAACGAGCCGCATGATGATGGGCCTCCGCGTTCAGTCTCAGAGCCTGCCTTAGACAGCGTGGCTCCGGTGGTCATTGTTCGTATTAGGCAGAGTCAGGGGTTGGCCGCCGGTATTTGTGAGCTCCTCGAGTGTTTCTTACTCAGAAGTGGGATTTAGAGCCATCGCACTAGAGCTGCTAACTTGCTAGGAAAAGAGCACACCTAGTCTTCAGATGGAGCCAGACTTGACATTGGCATCAAGGGGTGGCCGCCTTTGAACTGCACACAGTGTCTTTGACCTCTGCCTCTAAATCCCTCTGGTACTGGTGGTGGGGAGAGGGGAGGACAGGTGCTCGTCCTGGTCATCCTGGATACTAGGATGACGTGGGGCTAAGAGAGCTGTGGCAATAACTGTAGCTGTTTTCCCTGTGGCCTCATTCTGAGGAGTCTCAGAGAAAAGCAGGGTTCCTCAGGGCATTCCCAACCACCAGGGTAAGAATCTTCCTGAGAGACTGAGCTCCATGTCAAGCCTTTTGCTAGCCGCTGGCTCCTTACTCCAGTCCCAGATCACATGGCTCTTAAAGATGAGCATCTCAAACAGGCAAAGACTAGCATGTGTCTTCCTCTGGCAGAGAGACCGGTTCTCAACCTAGCTGCACCTGGAATCATCTTGGGCATTTTAAAACATACTGATGCCTGGCTCCGACCTCCAGAGATTCTGATTTAATTGGTCTGGGGTGGGGCTTGGGCAGGAAGAGGTTTTAAAGCTCCCCGGAGATTCTGTTGTGTAGCTGAGGTTGAGACCCAACACTCTAGGGGTCCCCAGGATGGGGTTCCTGTCTCTGCCCGCCGTCCCTCAAGTCCTCACATGTTCTAGGTCAGTGCTGTCGAGAAATGGCATGTGCAAATTAAATTACAAATGTAATTTAAAATGTTCTAGTACATTTAAAGAGAAACAGGTGAAATTAATTTTAATAATATACTTTATTTAGTATATCTAAAATGTCATTTCAGCAGGTAATAAAAATTGAGATTTGTACATCCTTTTTTCATATCAGGTCTTGAAATCGTGTGTATGTTTTACACTTACAGCACATCCCAATTCAGGGAGCCTTATTTCAAGTGCTGAATGTAGCCAGCGGCTACTGTATGGGATGGCAAAAATACAGGACATTTCTATCATGGCAGAAATAGCACTAGTGGATAGGGCCATTCCAGGAAGTCTTTCTGTGGAGTCCAGGTTAGGAGGTCCTCACAGGGAGCGCTGTTTACCAGATGCTGGTGACAGGTCCTTTGTATTCATACCTATCCACCCCCACTTGTTACTTAAGAATTCTCATCTGCCCACACAGCCAACCAGGCTAACCTTGCAATTGGGCAGGAAGAAGAGAAAAGGAAAAATTCCCCTTTATAAAAATGTGGCCTGTATCCCTGTTTATATGGAGGTCCCATGAGGCCTGCTAGGAACACAGCAGCAGGGTGGGGCTGTGATTGTTCCACCAGCTTGAGGCCTTGGACCCCTCCATCTCCCGCCCCCCTGCCTCAGTTTTACTGAATCCTGCATGTGAGCACCTATTGTGACCTGTCCAGCTAGTGACCTCTGATGTCTTCAGCTGGCTCTCAGACTGGTATCTTACTGCTCGTTCTGGTTGACCCCACGCGTGTGGTCACACTGATGTTTAGCACACGTCTGTGCCTCCTCCTCGGCTCTCATAGAACAGTCACGTGGCCAGAGCTCGCCTGGGGTTCCCTGTGTTACTAGTCTTACCCTGGAGCCGGTACAGCTCAGTTTCGTGGCAGAGAACTAGATTAGGTCTCCTGTACTGCAGTCTGTTTTATGGCTTAGGGAAAACCAGTTTTCCCACCCACACATGTTTAAACAATACCTATTTCTGGAGGGTTCTTTGGAAGGTTGGGCAGAGTTTCTCTGGATTCCAGATATATTCTGAGAACTTTCTGCATTACGTGTGAGGAAAATAACTTCTCTTTGATGGCACTGATGTTGATCTCTGGGGCACAGGGTTTTTGGTGGGGGAGCGTCTACAAGAATGCACCCACTTGTACTTACGTTAGGTACAAATGATACACCTTCAAATAAGCCTGGAGGAGAAGCACGCTCCTTGTACACTTCTTTACCTTGGCCCTCCACCCACACAGGGATGGGCTGCTTAGGCTCTTAATTTTGCTTAGTTTTTTTGTCTTGCCCTCGGCATCCAGAAAGCATTCAAGTACTAACCAGAGCTGGCCTCTGAAGGAATAACTTGGTGTGAGGGTGGGTTAGATGGCCTTGCTTCAGGGCAGGAGAATGGACATTTGATTCTAGTCTTGTCTACTGATTGCCAGAGGCCTAATTTATCCTGGCTCCATTTCCCTTCTGTAAAGCTGGATTGTCGGCACACGGCAGTGCTAAGATTTCAATTACTTTTCTTGTCTACCACCAAAAGTACGGTAGAGCAGCTAGTTTTTTTTTTTTTTTTTTTTTTTTTTAAATTTTAAATGTGTATTTATTTTTGAGAGACACGGAGAGAGACAGCGCGAGTGGGGGAGGGGAGAGAGAGGGAGACACAGAATCCGAAACAGGCTCCAGGCTCTGAGCTGTCAGCACAGATGCTTAACCTACGAGCCACCCAGACGCCCCAGGCAGCTTGTTTTAGTAGTCACGTCCCTTATCTTCAAACCGACTTGCTCCCGGCACCTTGTGGGTAGACTCAGTGACCAAACCCAATTTTCAATGTTGTTTTTTGTTTTTCTCTTTCAAGCCTAACTATGGGACAGCTTTACGAGAAGGAAAAAGATGAAGACGGATTCTTGTATGTGGCCTACAGTGGAGAGAACACTTTTGGCTTCTGAGGGCCAGTGCTGGGCTGGGTGCGCCGCTCCTGCTTGTGTATCTTGTAAATAGCCGGCCATTTTCAGTTATCAGACCTCTTCACGTAGACCTGTTAGTGCATTTGTAACTGGATTTATTTCTTAATATATTGGAAGGTTTTGTTTCCTTAGACTAGTAAATTATCATACAGAGTTTTATTTTGAGTTTTCCTTTTTGTGCACTGTCCTCATGGCTATACTCCAGGGAACTTGTTCCTCTGGGGATCCTATTTAATGAAGATATTTCCATATTAAAGTGAGGTAGGTGGGGTATTAAAGTGAAAGGGAGGGAGATGATGCATTTCTTCTGGATTATGTTTGAAGTGTTAAAGATGGTTAAGTATTAAAAGCACCCAAATTAAATCCTTAGCAATCAGAACACTTGCTTCACTAGATTTTGCCAACTGCCAATCATGTTGGATTGAGCTTATCTGTTCCTCTTTCTGAAAATATTAAGGTAAATAATTAACAATAAAACTTCCTCTTATAAAGGCATTGCAGTGTGACCATGTCGTTTATTTACTTCTTACAGATGGGTGACTTCTTACAGATGGGTGAGAGCCGTAGCCCTGTGTCTGCTGGGCCAGCAGGAGGCATTGTGGGGCCCACAGGAGCACAGCCTAGGACAGGAAGCAGGGGTCTGTGTCATAAGAGGGTTTTTTTTTTTTTTAATGGTTAATATATCCACATGGATATATTCAGCTTTAAAAACTATAGAAAGATAGACATTCCAATCTCAGCACTGCTGTGTGCCACACACTGAGAAGTGCTGCTCCCACTACTCCTTTTCTTCTACAAAAGAAACCATATATATTTACGTACATGGCTTTTTTTTTCATTTAACAGTATATCCTGGTGATCTTTCCATATCAGTTGATAGGGAGCCTTTTCGTTCATTTTTATAGACAAATAGTATTGCACGGTGTGAATATACCATTATTATGTGCCTAGTCCCATTAACGGTGTTTGGGTTTTAACAGGCTTTCACTATTTTATACAGTGTTAGGACAATAACTGTAGACCATAACGTACTCTTTTTTTCTTTTTTTTATATTTTTATTTATTTTTGAGAGACAGAGACAGCACAAGTTGGGGAGGGGCAGAGAGAGAATGAGACCCAGAATGCAAAGCAGGCTCCAGGCTGTCAGCATAGAGCCCGATGCGGGGCTCGAACTCACAAACTGTGAGATCATGACCTGAGCCAAAGTCAGACGCTTAACCGACTGAGCCACCCAGGCGCCCCCGTAATGTACTCTTAAATGTACCCGCACTCTTTCTAGTGCTGCTCTCCAGTCTCTTCTTCCTAAAAGTCACGATTAGATTTCCCATGTCCATGAAATGCATGATTTCTCACAAATTAGTATAAATGTGGAGGCACAACACACATGCATCTAAGAGGAACACTTAGTTACTTTCCCAAATCTTTCTTAGATTGATTGTGTTGGAGGCTACAGCCCTACATAGATAATCAGAATAAAGCAACTAGGTATCAGCCCACGATCTGGGAACATGTAGTTAAAATAACTGCCTTAAACTTTCTACAGAGGAAATATAACTTTACCAAGTTATATAAGCAACCCGTCAAAGCTCTCTACTGATCTCAGCTCCCCAGGTGGGATCAGAAGAAACTCTTGTCATTAAGCATCATGTTGGTCTTTCTGAAACCTGACCCAATAAAATCTGCAGCCTCTTTGCTGGTAGTTTTAAACTAGAAACAGGGAGAAACTGACCTCTGAGTGGGCACGGTAAAAAGAAGGAACAAGTTCTGTGTTAAAAGGAATCTTGTTTGCAGCGACATACACCCAACTCAAACTGGCTTAAGCTCTAAAAAGGCAATTTATTATTTCACTTATTGTACAGGGATAGTTCATTGGCTTCAGACGTAGCTCGAACCAGAGATCAAAAGATAACATCAAAACTCTTTCCTCTTGGTTTTGTTTCCCTCTGTGTTGACTTCATTCTCAGGCAGATTCTTCTCATGTCATGGCAAAGTGGCCCCGTCAGCTTTCCAAGTCCAGTGGGAGAGCATTTCTTCTGAGGACAATGTTAAAAGTCCCCAGGAGGATTCTGGCCTCACTTGAATTACCAAATAGCTTCTCGCCCATCCCTGCCTGAGGCAGGGACTGGTAGGAAGGAGTGGTAAAAAACTCTCTTTTTAACCATGTGAACAGGATAGGACTATAGAGCAGTGGAGGAGGGATAGCTTTTCAAAGGCATTTTGACCTGTTTCTGTTTCACAACCACAAACCCACAAATGAACAGTAGTAGAGAGAAGAAGAAAATCAAAAAGCAAGTGTCTCTAAGTCAGCTGTGTTTTGCTTTCCTTCAAAATTAAAAGTAATTTGGGGTGCCTAGGTGGCCCAGTCGGTTGAGCGTCCGACTTCAGCCAGGTCACGATCTCGCGGTCCGTGAGTTCGAGCCCCGTGTCAGGCTCTGGGCTGATGGCTCAGAGCCTGGAGCCTGTTTCTGATTCTGTGTCTCCCTCTCTCTCTGCCCCTCCCCCATTCATGCTCTGTCTCTCTCTGTCCCAAAAAAAATAAATAAACTTTAAAAAAAAAAAAAAGTAATTTGGGGCACCTAGGTGGCTCAGTCAGTTAAGTGTCCGACTTCGGCTCAGGTCAGGATCTGGCAGTTCATGGGTTCAAGCCCCGTGTCGGGCTCTGTGCTGACAGCTCAGAGCCTGGGGCCTGCTTCGGATTCAGTGTCTCCCTCTGTCTGCCACTTCCCTGCTTGTGCTCTGTCTCTCAAAAATAAACATTAAAGAAAAGTTAAATTAAGTTACAGGGGTGCCTGGCTGGCTCCGTTGGTAGAGCACGGGACTTGATCTCAGGTCGTGAGTTCGAGCCTCACGTTGGGCATAGAGATTACTTAAAAAAATTTTTTTTAATTAAAAAAAAGTAATTTATAACTTTTATTGAACACGCGCTGGATACCAGATGATTTATATATATCATCGTGGTTAGTCTTCAAAAAGCACTTACGAGACAGGTAGTGTAATTCTCACAGCTACACTGCTATCAAGTGACAGAGTTAAGGAGATTTAAAACTCGAGATTTAAGAGGAAAGACAGAGTTGGCATTGTGAAATCATTTCATAATGCTTGTTTTTTTTCTATTTACAGTATGCCTCAAACTGCTGGATACTGAGGCACAAACAGGAATAAAAATGTTACCCCGTCTTTCAGAAACTTACAGTATGGGGATAAACCTATACATAAATCAATAATTATGAGCAATATTAGAAAGTATTCTTGGAACAGAGGAAGGAGTAGCTATTATCTATGAAACAAAGTATTGAAGAAAGCAGTCTTATATGTAATACTAATAAAAAATGGATTTGTCAATCTTGCCTTTAAAATGTAGTGTCTGAATAAAGGTTTGAAAAGTTTTAAAAAAGTAGCATCTAGTTTCACCCAACTCTAGTCCTTAAAATACACTAGCAAGATTTTACAGATGAATTTTATCAAACTATGTAAAGAATCCTTAACCCTTTCTTAAGCTTGCAGAGATTAGAAAAAGGGAATAATCACAAATTCATTTTGAGAATTAAAATCTCAATGCCCAAAACTTTGTAAGAGAGAAAAATTAGATCTCATTTATCAACCGAGAAAAATCCTAAATAAATTACTAGTATATAAAATTTAGTAGTGTACTAAAAAATCATGACCAGGTAGAGCTTAGCTCAAGAATGGGTTATATAGTCCATCATTATGTCTATGAATAAAATATTCCAAACTGGGGTACCTGGATGGCTCAGTAAGCTAAGCATCCAACTCTTGATTTTGGCTCAAGCTCATGATCTCACGGTTGGTGGGATCCAGCCCCATGTCCTCGGGCTCTTTGCTGTCAGTGCAGAGCCTGCTTGGGCTTCTCTCTCTCCCGCCCTCTCTCTCTGCTTCATCCTCACTTGCACGCATGCTCAACTCGCTCTTTTTTTTTTTTTTTTTTTTTTTTAAGTGTTTAAAATGTTGATTAAAATTTTTTTTTAATTTTTTTTTTAAATTTTTAAAGTTTCTTTATTTTGAGAGAGAGAGAGAGACAGCAAGCAGGGGAAGGGGAGAGAGAGGGAGAGACAGAATCCCATGCAGACTCTGTGCTGCACAGAGCCTGATTCAGGGCTTGAACTCATGAAACCAGGAGATCATGACCTGAGCTGAAACCAAGAGTCAGACGCTTAACTGACTGAGCCACTCAGGTGCCCCTGTTTATTTATTTTTAAGAGAGAGAGAGAGAGAGAGAGAGAGAGAGAGAGAGAGAGAGACAAAGCATGAGTGGGGGAGGGGCAGGGAGAGAGGGAGACACAGAATCCGAAGCAGGCTCCAGGCTCTGAGCTGTCAGCACAGCGCCAGATGTGGGGCTGGAACTCATAAACCGTGAGATCATGACCTGAGCTGAAGTCGGACGTTTAACCGACTGAGCCACCCAGGTGCCCCTCTCTCTCTTAAAATAAGAAATAAACTTAAAAAAAAATACACCAAATTAATAACTGAAGGAGAAAAACTATATGATCATCTCATAGATGAAGAAAAAAATGCCAGAAATAACTCAAAATCCATGCATAACTTTTAAAAAAACCTCTTAGCAAATAGAAGGGTACTTCTTTAACTTGATAAAGGGAACCCATAAAAAATCTACAAATATGACTACAAATATGACTATTATCATTTTTTAAATGTTTGTTTAGTTAGAGAGAGAGTGCATGCACACACATGCTCTGGTAGGGCAGAGAGAGAGAGAAAAAGAGAGGGAGCAAGAGAGAATCCCACGCGGGCTCTGTGCTGTCAGTGCAGGGCTCAGACTCATAAATGGTGAGATCATAACCGAGCTGAAATCAAGAGCCAGATGCTTAACCAACTGATCCACCTGGGTGCCCCGACAGCAAATATTTAAAGCTATGGTAAATAAGGTAATATGGTAGGTACTGACACTGGGATAGACAAGTACTCTAATGGAACAGAACCCAGAAATAGATCTGTATAGAAAACATACGTCAGAGGTGGCGTGACAAATCAGGAGAGAAAAGAAGAACCAGTCAACAAATACAAATTGTACTGTGAAGTCGGAGGGATGAACTTTATGGCATGTGAACTTTATCTCAATATTCTCAATTAAAGCTGTTAAAAAAGACTGCTGTCACTGCTCTGCTTCTCCTCAACACTGTCCTGGCATAAAAGCAATACAGTAAGAGAGGAAAAGTAAATGAGAGGCATAAAAATCAGAAAGGAAGACTAAACTGTTCTTAAATGTAGACAGTGATAATCTACACAGAAAAATCCAAGAGAATCTGTAGAACTTAGAACAAGTCAGAAAGTTCAGCATGGTTGCTGGATATCAGGTGAGTTACAAATATGGATATTGTTTCTACATACCAGCTATAAACACTTAGGGAGTATAATAGGGAAAAAGATCTTGTTCTCAATAGGAGCAAAAATCTACAAGTGCAGAGGAATAAATTTAATGTCATATGCAAGACCTTCATGGAGAAAATGACAAAAC